GAGATATCAGCTTTTTTTTTTTTTTTTTTTTTTCAAAAGGCTAATTCTGGACAGGACGGCCTTTCAGGCCTTTTTTATTGTCTTTATAGTATTACGGGGAATACCTGTAGCAGCCACATCCGTGCTCAAGCCTTCAACGAGGGAACATGCGGGAGCTGCACCCACCAGCAGGTGTGATACCTGCCACAGCAGGTAGGCTATACCGGCCAGGGGTCAGCCGGTAGCATCTTCTATGGGCCAGTCACTGTGCCTCCCCTCCAGTCCCCTTGCCCTATGAACATGGGCAGTCTCTGCTCAATGCCACTCGGGGGGACCAACGGCATATCTCTAGGTGGCGGGCGCCAAGCTTGCCCAGGAAGGCGCATGAGGCCACTGGGGATTGAACCCAAGACCTCCTGAATGCCACTTGCGTGCCTTACCAACTGAGCTAGGCCGCTGGATAGATATCAGCTTTGAACTGAGTGGCCCAGGTAATTCATTTTACTCTGTCCATCTCATTGCAACTCGATTCGAACTTGGGTATGCTCCCGGAAAAAAAAAAAAAAAAAAAAAAAAACCCTTGGGTTTGCATTTTAACAGTTCGGGGGTGTACCAACTGAACTGGGCCCGTCGGTTCCCGTCAACCTTTTTCGTGACCAACAGGCCTAGCTACAGTAGACGCGACCAGTACGGTTCAGCCACCGTCGCGGTTCAGATTAATATTGCCGTGATTAACGTCCAAATTCATACTCGTTCCCCATAATAGGAGAGTATGCTCTGCGAGGGCCAGGAGCCAGACAAGACTGAGGGCATACTCGCCGTAGGGATTGCTTCGCTTACAGTCAGATGCATCCACATCCGGCCGTAATTGCGGTCCCATTCATACATGTACCGAAGTCCTAGTGTGAGAGTATGCCCGCCTGCACTGCTCCGAGAGAGCCCTCGGAAACGTCCGTTAAAAATTAAAAGAGAGAGAGAGAGAGAGAGAGAGAGAGAGAGAGAGAGAGAGAGAGAGAGAGAAGATTAGTACAGCCCCTGCGCAGGGATGACACGCCGATTGAATCGAGAACTGGAAAAACCATTAAAGTAAATTCATAATAACAATATTCTCCCTCTAATCGAACGAAAAAACAAAATTAAAACAAAAACAAAAAAAAACAAAAAAAAAAACACGCCCCCACATGCAAAATGGCCTACCTACATTTCAGTCGCAAATCTGGGGCACAGGATAGCAAATCGATCTCGAACCTGTGTGTGACGTACCGCGGCCGTGGATGGGGATACCCAATAGAGATAGAGTTCCAACCTGTGTGTGAAGTACTGCTGCCGTGGATGCGGATACCAAATAGAAGTAGAGTTCCAACCTGTGTGTAAAGAACTGCGGTTGTGGATGCGGATAGCAAATCGAGTTAAAAGTGGGGCAAGGTCCAGCTAGCAAGAGGATTTGATTAGAAGCACCTGAATGTGGACGCGCTTGATCTGCTCTTCTGCACCTCTGCGTAGAATACGCCCACATTCGGTCACTCAACTCCTATCCTCTCCTCTAGTGGGACCTCGGCCCGGGTGTGTAACGGACGAACTGCTGGCACGATGTATGCGGCAAACGCAAGCACGCTGTAACCAAGCTTGAAATAACAATAAAAATATTATTCATGTTAATTAATCATCATCATCATCATCATCGTCGTCATCATCATCAATACTAATAAGAATAATAAGAATAAGAATAAGAATAAGAATAAGAATAAGAATCCAGTCTGTTTCGAAGAGTCGGACGTCCCCTCCCCCAAATCCACAGGTGGACAGGTAGATAGATACATCCCCCATATGCGAAGGCCATAGCAGCGACAGGTAAACAAATCTTTTTTTTTTTTTTTTTTTTGAATAAAGGAATCTTTTCATTCTTGCCATTCTCTTCCTTTTTTTTTTTATAGCAGATGTGCATAATGAGCAGATGCTTGCGTTTCCATGATTGGGTCATTAGCGAGATTATTGATCAGCGGTGGTCGACGCGTGATTTAATTAATCATAGAAGCATTACCGCGAGCCTGTTGAAGGGGGGTTTCTTCATCTTGTCCGACGCTTCTTCTCCAACGGTCAAGAACGTGACTCCATGGCCAGAACTCCGCAACGCCTTTGCCAGGTGAAAGCCGATTACGGCGTGTCCGCCGCCATTGGTATTGACGATCAACACTTCCCTGGGCTCGGAGGCGGCGACCACAGAGACTCCTCCCGCGCCCGCAGACCCTTGGCTTCTCCTTCGCGGAATTCTCCGCGCCGATGACAACGACGACGACGGGGAGGAGGACGAGGAGGACAAGGCGGAGGAGGAGGACGCAAGGAGCTCAGACAACTGGAAGCCGAGGCCAGCGACCAATCGCTGGGAGGAGCAGGAGCTTACCTCCAAGGAGGAAGAGGAGGAGGAGGAGGAGGACGACGAACGCGAGCCCCTACTTTTGCCCTGTGCGCTTGGAGTGTGGCCAAATGCTGCCGTCGTCGTCGCCGCCGCAGGCGTTGGTCTCGAAGATGACGACGACCGCTGCGCAGCAAGTCCGACCGCTGTCGCGGTCGATGGCGATGGCGCCAATGCCGCCATCGCCGCCATTGCAGTCCGGTCGGTTAAAAAATCGGATCGCTGCCCGAAATCGGTCCTCCGGCCGGTCTGTCGCTCGGTCGGTGGATGCGATTCAGCCGGCTGGCCGGTGATTCCCTGGGATCTATCCACCAACTCAGACTCTGCGCTCGCTACGTATCAGTGGCAGTCGTTGTTAGGGCACGTTTGCTCACAGTCTGCCTAGAAAGTGCCGGTTAAAATTAAAAAAAAAAAAAAAAAAAAGGAGTGCCGGTGATGGACGGTCTCATCCTCTCGCACACCACAACAGGAAAGAGGCGCCACATTAGAAAAGAAAATACCACCGCGCTCGTAACGTCAGTGCCACGCGTAGCCAAGGTGAAGAAAGATGAGGAGCGCGGGAGGGACGGCCTGCATGGACGGCGGGAGCTCGTGGTGGAGCGCGTCGAGGCGCGCGCGGCGAGCGCGGTATTCGTTCCTGTGGCTAGAGCAGCCCTCCGCCGCGGGCTTCGTTCGGAGGGCCGCGGGCTTCGCTTCGCTTTTCAAAATTTCCCCCTTTTCGGCTTCTCGGGAACGTTCAGCTGCTGCTACCAACCCTTGACCACATGCAAGTGTCGTTTGAACGCGTGGCTTCCGGTGTTTCCCGCCGTTCCACTCTTTGCCCACCAACAGCTGACCTCATCCACGCCGCAGGGACCGTTCTGAGCCTTTGAAAAAGAAAGAAGGGAGAGGTTGCATCTACGCCCAATTTGAGGGTGGGCACTGCCCGTGTGTCCGAGGAAAATGCACATAGAAGGCGAGGTTTGCTCAGTTCCATTGGTCGAGAGCAGGCGGCACGCACCAGCTGGGTGTAGCTCAGTTGGTAAGACGTTCAAGTGGCACTCAGGAGGTCGTGGGTTCAACTCCCATTGCCCCCACGATAAGTGCCTGTGGCATACTTGGCGCCTCACCTTTGAGACGGCCAGTTGGTAAGCAAGTACGTGGTAGCTCAGTGGGCGGAGCTCCCGTGTTGCAACAGGGAGGTTGCGGGTTCGACTTTGTCGGCCCTCAGTTTCCCCGAGCACAACTGGTTGGTGTAGGTTGCACCCCACGTACTTGTCTCGAGCCTGGCATAGCGCCTATACAGACTTATGACCTCAATAGCTCAGTGGGTAGAGCTCTGATATTGTATGATGGAGGTCCCGGGTTCAACTCCAGACCATGCTCATGTCTATGTACACTGTTCGTCATATCAGCTAGGGACAGAGTCCTTTCCCATGGGAAAGTTGATGTAGGAGGGATGCTACTCTTTCTCTCGGGCCGGGGAGTGGCAAGGGGTAAGTTGGGTGCATGGTGATACCGTGGCAGTCCTATGGTAGGAAGGGGTGCCTTGTAGGCAAGCCAATGTCGAAACAAGAGGTCTGCTCTCAAGGGCTAGGACCCATTCTGGGGGGGTGGGTCTTGGGACTCGTGGCGGTTGGTTGGGGGTAGTTGATGAGGGTAGAGGTCTCCTCCACTACCACTGGGCGATTCTCCCTAGCGAACAGACACAAGCAAGGCTCATTAGCAACCACATACATCCATATAGACTACGATATCATACTAAGCTCGCATATCAACCACGGCTATATCAACAACTGACAGTAGCCACATATATATGAACTACGCTGTGCCGGGTTGGTTGTAGAAATAAGGGGGGCTCATGGGTTAGACCTTGGTTAGTTGACCATTAGACACTGCCTATGGGTACCCTCACTGCTCACGGGACTAGTTGAGGTACCCGGATAACGAACGAGGCTTGTACACTAGTGCCTCAACTGAGGCTGAATGGGGAAACCCGTTCAGCCTCAGTGCCCGTGTCCGCTGTCTGGTCAGGTTGCTCCAGTAGAGAGTGATGTTCCTCGCGTAGAGGTAAGATAGAGAAAGATGTGGGGGTGCACCAGGAGATATGTCAAGAGAGAAGGAGGTAGGATGGGAGTCTCGTGAGTTCAAAAAAAAAAAAAAAAAAAAAAAAGAGAGCAGGCGGCACGTGGAGTATGTGGTTCAAGAATATGAGGGGCAGCTATAGCCTCACCCCATAACATTATTTGCAGAAGCGATCTCATGGGGTGTTCAGAAGAGCACGGGGCAACTTCGACTTACTCAGGCTCTTTGGCAAGCCGGCAGGTATTCTGGCTCTCAGGCCCTGCATCTGGACAGAAGGACGGTCCCCATCCAGCCAAGCTGCCGCTAACTTTGTGAACTGGAGGATTGGCGGAAAGGAGATCGACGGCCCCTTCTTCGCACCAAGCAACAAGGCCTGGAGGCCCGTCGTTACTCCCCAAGGAAGAATCCAGCAACGACATCCCGAATAGGGTGGGTCCCGAATAACTCATCTGAAAAGGGGTCATTGAGGCCCTGCATTTATCATTCCTGATCGGGCTCGAGGAGACCCGCCATTCACTATTTCTTGACTCGGCGGCCCCTGACGGTGACTTTTGTCTTCTCGCGATTTTTCCTGTATGCGCTCGGCGCTCCATTCCTGGTACCTGCAGCAATACAAACGGTTGGTTAACCTCACGCTTCTACCGCACGTACGGTAATTCACTCGCAGAACTTTCCCAATCAAGGTAAGTAAGCTCGTTTTACTTCCCTACCATAGCTTCACCCTATTGTAAGTAAATCTGAACGCCAACTTTTCATTTCCAATCTACCAGAAGACATATTATTCGTTTACAGCTTACTACTTTTAGAAATCCAAGCTTACGAAGAAATGCATTTACATCAACGTCTTCAGCTAGGGGTGATGAGATCGGTTTGTGGACCTGGAGAGTATGGCGCCGCTTTGCGCACACAACGTGACGGGTTCGCGCTGACGAACGCGCTTATGCCCGCGGCCTGGGAGCTGCGTGACACGTGGGAAGAGAGGGGGGACAAGGACACGTGGGAAGAGAGGGGGGACGGGAGGGGACGAAGGGGAGGAAGGAGGGGGGCGAAGGGGAGGAAGAGAGGGGACAAGGGGGGACGAAGGGGAGGAAGGAGGTGGGGCGAAGAGGTGGGAGGAGGGAACAGGAAAAGCAGACACCAGAAGGAAGGAGCAGCTTTCTCTGTCGGGTGTGCCGTGAGGAGAGTGTGAGTCCACTAAGGAGGAGACGACCAACAGGCGGAGCGACAACCTCACTACTACGGAAGACGGCGCCCGCGTGACAACATACAATCTGCGAGCAAGCCGTTCCCCGGCTGAACCTACGAGGAAGAACATCAACTAGACGACGACTACAACTGGACGACGAGAATACTAGTAAGCAGCGACTACAACCACCACGGCCGGTCGACGTGGATACCACCTACGCATCGACTACAACCACCCAGCCTGACCCGGCCGCCGTTTCCCATCTTATCATCCCTGTCTTTCCCCACCTCTTTGAAATCCTCCCCGCCCCCGCGACGTCCCCCCCCACCTGCTCTCTCCCCGTAATCCTGACCGCCCGCCCTCATCATCCCCTTCCCCGC